TTTTAAAAAAAAGAAAGCTCTGATCTTCAAACAATAATAGTGCATAGCTACCAACTTTTCAACCCCCCCCAAAAAGCAGATTCTACATACACAAGATGGTCAAGATGGTAGGCACTGGACAAGACCTTCCACCCCCCCCCCCCCCCCCCCCCCCACCCCTCAACACAAGAACAATAGAGACAAAAAAAGTATTTACCTTTACTTAACCTCAAAGCCTGCAGAACCCTCCGCAGCTCTTCCACGGTCATGTCCCCTAACTGTAGCACTGCGCGGGCCGCAGGACTCTGCATGTCTTGCTCTGAAACAGGAAAGTGACGACAAATAAACTCGATTGACTTGATCGAGAGAGAAGCACGAGTTGATTGTTTTAGTTAGCATTTTACGGCACTCACATAGAAGTGCAGAGGATTAGAGATGTGACAAGAGAGTAACAACCAACAGTGGAGGAGGAGAGACACAAGGAAGATAGACGTTTGATACGAAAGGAGCAAACTAAGAGCTTCAATTAGTGATCACAGCATCAAAATAGGAAAAATAAAAAACTGGACAAACCCCCCCTCAACCACATGGCAGATGTTTTTCTATTCTATATCTAAAAAAAAATTAATTAAGTTTTGATCTGAGTTTATCAAAAACTGCAATAACATTTTATCAGTATCACCCAAGAAAGATGGTAGGGTCAACAACTCAACATCAGAGAAATTGAGCCAGCGGCATGCTCCATGCGTTTCTGCTGTACACAGGACAATCAACATCAACAGAAAAACCGACTCTTTGGGTACAGGTGAGAGAGACTGTTAAAGAGCAAGGGAGTAGGGGGGAAGGGGGTAGAAGAAAGTAAGAGAGGCAGATGGAAGGAAAAGAGAGGAAGGGAGAGAAGAACAGGGAAGAGGCAGGAGGACAGAGAGAAGGAGGTTAGGAGAAGTGGTAAGTGCTAAGTGCATTTTAAAACCATTTTATGCAACAGACAACACTCACCAAGAGAAGGCAGTGGTGGTTCACCTGGTTCTGTGCATTGCCTCTGGTCTTCTACCTGTTTAGGAAGAAACACATTTTTTGTGCTTTCACATATCGCGACCTCGGTGCTTTCTTGTTGTATCTCCATTTTTAATAACAATGAAAACGGTTCATAACAAAGAGTGAGCTTCAGAAGAAGTCACATTTTAACTTGTTTGAAAAAATGGAGATACTGCAAGACAGCACTGAGGTCGTGATTACTTGAACTTGTCCAAGACAGACATCCATTGTGGAAAAGAAAAGTGGTTGTTTTAGACAGCTGGACATCTTGGAAAATGTCATTATAAATTTTTAAAAGGATGCAAGGGAGGAAATAGGAAGTGGTCATTTGACCAGGTGATTTTTTAAAAATCACAAGTGGCCTTCAGAGCAGATTCGACGGTATTTACACCGAAGCTCTAACTGCATATCTGGTTTTTAACAAACTTTTTAAAGAGGTAAAAAAACAACAAAAAGAACAATCCACAAAAAAACTCCCAAAAAACAAAACTCATCTGACCTGGACGATGAGAAAAGTTAGCCTTTTGCTCTTTTTATAGTACATGCTGACAGACAATACAATGATCACCGTCAACCACAGACTTTGTTATCACACAGTACAGTATTCGCTCAGTGTACTGTCTTGACTCCTGGAACCTACTTATGGTACTATAATTAATTGAAGACGGCATATCAATGCCAGTAACATGCTACCACCAAGAAATCAAACTCTGCTTCACCAGAAGGAGATATATGTTGGTACTTAGAGTTGTTTTTTTTTAAAATTTGTTTGTTGTGTATGTACTTGCACTTTTTATTCCTCGTTGCTCTGTTCTGTACTTGTATTGGAAACGTTGTACGCCCACATAGACACAATTTGGATTTTAAAAAGGAGGCTGGTCACAAGACACATCCCAGCAGAATGACAGAATTATATTATCAGAACTAGATGAAATATCGGAGAGAGCTATGAGTCAGCTCAATGCCACCTACTCCTGCACCAGGAGAGTGGGGAAAAACCTGTTGGGTGAGGCAGAAGAGAGTTCTTGTGTATTTGGTATTCTTTGTACGCACATATTTGTTTTGCCATGGTAACCCAACTTTCTCCACATGGATTTAAAAAATGCAAATCATTTTTTAAATTTATTTCTCTAATATCCCCTGACCCACTCAGGGATTACTTTTTTTGTAAGTGTTTTATTACGGCGCTCGCAACTGCATAAGGTCATATGAGCGTGCGGGACACATTTTAAACATTTTCAGTTGGTAGGAAATTTTGAACTTTGTCTGGGTGGCTGACGAAGCCTACTCTTATCGATTTTAGACCACCAAGGGACCTTTAACTTGCGGAACTTGCACACGGGACCTCCGAGATTTTTCTCCCTTGTCCGAGAAAGCTAGGTGTAGATCTTTCCCACCATAAGATCAAGGGTGTGGCCTAAAGACAGCTGTAAGAAGGAGCCAAGGAGTAGCAGTAGAAAGGCTGCAGAAAGAGTCAGGAGCCCAGAGGAGGGGGCAAAGGAGGTGAGGGGGTGGGGGTAGAAAGTGGAGATGAAAGCAGACTACAGAACATTGCTAAAGAGCAAGAAAGGAGGTGAAAGGAGACAATTTTAGAGAGGAAATTTTTCAGTCCCTACACGGATCTTTGAATGAGAGGCGAACACCTTAACCTCTAGGCCACGAGAGCCCCTGTCCACTCAGGGATGGAACAATGTTCAACTTTTATCAACAACCAATGTGTTCCCTCACCTCCACACTCTTTTCACCGACTTCCGCTTTGTGATAGCCGTTCTTCAACGGACTCGATGGGCCCGCAGCCGCCCCTGTCCTGCTCCCCGCCACACTCGAAGGTTGGTGACCCCCTCTCTCCATCTCCATTTTCCTTTTCTTCTCTTTCACAAAGGGGCACTCAGGGTACAGCCTGGCGTGTTCATGAAAGGGATCATCCCCAGGTTCCCATTTCCTCAGTGTCTTGCCACAATGGAAACATTTTACAACATCCGTGTGACCTGAAATGCAAAAGAAAACCATGGATTTCAGTAAGAATAAATGACACAATCTACACATCGTTAGCCAGCTCAGGCTATAAAGGAAAAGGAAGGCCACGCAAAAGGTGGATCGAGGGTGTCAAGAAAACCCTAAAAAAACATAAAATCAGAACTGAAAGAGCTGCGGAGCTGGCCTACCATAGACAACTGCATCTCCCCTTGACACTTAACGGCAACAGAGGATGAAAAAGTAAAAGTAAAAAGTAAGTAAGTATTGTTAGCCAGCTTGTCAGATGTAATAAGCCCAAAATTTTGAAAATATGTTTTGTTTTGCATTTTCTTCATCTGTAGTATCTGTTGCATATATGCTCAAGAAATCTTTTGTCAAAATATAAATTCTAAATGTTGGGG